CGCGGGGGGGGGGTTATATCTCTTTTAGGTGCGCGGCTTTTGAGGAATGGTTAGCAGCATGCAAAGGCAATGTTCCTACTGTTGCGTTTTCTACCTAGTTGCAATCTGAATGTTTCCCCGTTCGTGAAATATTTCGGACAGTCGGATCGGCCGGCTTCGCCGGCCGATCCTCCTTCCGCGTGTGAAGTGGGTCCCGGTGAGAAGTTTTCCATGAGAGGGAGGGCCAGTCGGATCGGCCGGCTTCGCCGGGCGGATGGTCAAAAAAATATTGTTCTGACCAGGAAAGGATGTTTGGTCGAAGTGGCCGTTCGAGATGAGATGTATACCATCTGATGCCTTTTTGGAAGCTGATTACAAATCTGCATCCATATCTGCTAAACGATTCTCTGAGCAGAGTTGTGCAGGTTTTTGACCTGGTCACCCCTATTTTCATCATGTATGTAAGGCACAAGAAACCCCCCAAATTCGCACAAATTCCGAACCAAAGGTTGCCTAGGACATCAAGAAGTGACACTACACTCATTTCTCATGGGAATATCGTGTTCGCATTCCGCATCCCCCGTCTATTTGAGCGACTGTGACGCTAGAGAGGACGAATTTGTGCAGGAGCCCGTAGCGCACGACGCAAGCGTTTTTGCGCTGAATGAGTGTGATATTCGTGTTCTGGGGATCAAATTAGCCATAGGGGCAAGTTTTTAGCAAAGTCTGAGATTTTGACCAAAATTCGAAACAGTGGGGTAACCATGGGCAATACATCCCTTAAGGCCGCGGGCACTATCCTCGACTAGAATCCCAGTGGGCATTGGAGTATTTTCGCTAAATTTCAAACCTCATTGGTAACAGACGGTCCTGATCACAAGTATGACAATCACTTTTGGCGGCCGTGGCATTTGGCGCCAGTTTGGCGACACACCATAACGTAACGAATGATGGCACCGGAACGGAACGAATGAGGGCATTCAGGGGTGCTCCTCAAAACTCTTCCAGAATGGCCCCATTCCTTCAGAAGTAACATTTTTCGGCAGGATTAGGTCTCCTGGCTACGTAAGAATGGTTTTAAAAACTGTAGGGAACATTTCCAAAAAAAAATGCAAAACAACTTTCCAACCAAAGATTCGAACACTGCCCGCACAAACATGAGACCAATCGCTTACCCACTAGGCCATCGCAACAAGTTTGCTGCTCATTGTCAGTCACACCCCGTTTGTATACTGATTGAGCATTGGTCGGGTTGAACCCTACAGTCCTAGTGGTCAGCCATACAAACCTCCATAACTTTGTTCGGAGAATCGTTTAGCAGATTTGGAAAGCAGATTCGAAATCACTATCCAAAGACGCGTCGGTCGGTATACATCTCATTTCAAATGGCCACTTCGACCCACCATCCTTTCCTGATGAGAATTACCGCACTTTACCATTTCAGTTCTTTACCATTTCAGTCCCTCTGGTTAGTGATGAGGAATCGCAGAATAAACTATTGCCGATGGTACCAACCATTTGGTATACTCCCTACGGTTATCCCTCACTAACTTCATCTGCCAATTGCTCAGTTTCACCTTACTCCCCATTTCGTGGGGTTTTTCGGATGCGTTTTGAGGGTTTTTGTCCTCGGCACCGTTCACTTCGGCGAACGCCCCGCCCGTCAGGGGTGTGCTTCATTGATTTCGTCCGCCAACTTGTTGCCTATCATTTGCCTCATTTTCCACTCTCCGGGCTCCTTTGGAACCGAGTTACGAATTTTTGAATGTTTTGTGGCAAGGCACCGCCCACCTATGGAACGCCCGCCCATAATGGGTATGTCTCACTCATTTCGTCCGCCAACTGATTGCCTATCATTTGCCACATTTTCCGCTATCCGGGCTCCTTTGGAACCGAGTTACGAATTTTTGAATTATGTAGCTCACAACTGTGCGCACGCCCCGCCCACAGTGGGCGGGGCTTAGCCGGTTCACGTGTGTTCCGTACATCTTGGCCCATGCCCTACCCATCCCAACCTTGACCCGCCCCCTGAAACTGGCTCTTCAGGTAGTTCCGAATTTCCGGACAGACAGACAAACAGACAGACAGACGTCGCCGTTTATATACAGTAGGATTCATTAAGTTGCGTCTTAATTTTTATAATAAATTTTGCAAACATTTACGGACAATTTCGGAGATTTTCCTTATGCCAGTGAAGAAATGAACTGTGCCTGTAAACGATGCAAAGAACCAATTACCAAGTTACATTTTCTGCAAGTCGATGGCCATCTCTTGAAGCTGATGTACGTACAATAAAGTTACTAGTTTACATAATTTCTGTCAGGATATCATGTGTTTTAAAAGTTATTAAGTGGAAATTCTACTGAATGGCCTAATTGGGTCTAGACACCGTCTTCAGCGACGGTATGATTCTTAGTTTGGACTCACTCTCTAGTTTACAAAGCCAGGGCTCATCATCCTGATCCTGATCCTCCAAGGGGGAGGGGGGGGGGTCGTACTTGTTCGCTGGGGAGGGGAGCGAGACATAACTGCCTTCTGGCTTCCTGAGAGAGGTTGTTGACTTTTCGTGGCTTTTCCTGTTCAAATGACCGATATACCTCCCCCCACCCCCGCTCTACAGCAAAATTTTGGTGAGAAAAAGCTCGACAGCTCAAAGCTCGATCGTATCAGAGGAGGCTATAGGGAGGGTCGTATCAAGCCATCCTTTAAGGGAGGGGGTCGAACGGACTCGACCAAAATCCCCACTAGTGATGTGGTCTGCACACAAGACACCTCGTCTTTCCTGGACAGTTGGAAGGCTAGAAGTGTAATGCATATGATCAAAAAACAAACTCGCCCAAAGCTTGACCTTCCTGGGCGGGAAAAATACGCCACCACACATGAGCGTTAGTACAGTCAGGATCCCTGCAAACATAGGGCGTAAGGGGCGTGAATAGGGGCGCATTCGGGAGAGCCTTTCCTGCCAAGTACGCCGACTCAAGATAGCGTCATTGGTGGAAAAGGCCGCCCTGGCAGCGTTTCTCTCCACGCCCCGCCAAGCAATGGCGCTTACAGTCCTCATCATTGCGGACCGGTGGGGCGTGTCAGTGCGGCTCCGTCTTCCGCGGTGCCAAAGTCGTTCTGCACCAGTTGTTGAAGCGGGCAAGTGACATTACTGTATTATATCCTTCGTATTACTCGTTTTCTACCACTTTTTGTCGCATACGCGTTTGCAACAAAAAGGCTGAGAACGGCTTCAACAGTGTGCGCACTCCTTCTGACTCCCACCGGTCCGCAATGATGAGGATTGTACTTCACTTCTTTTTACTCATGCATGAAGGGCATACATCTCGATGAAATGTTGACTCTGCTATTATATAATTCAAAATCTGTTCATATTTTCTACAAGTTATGCTTTACTACTCACTTTGGCTTTGACTTCGGATATGTTATACGACTTAGTCTTGAACTTGATCGGGACTTGGAATTTCGACCCTGTCTTTTTGAGATTCTTCATAAGTTCCAAATTTTCATGTTACAGCTCTTCCATTGCGAGAACATGACCGCGGAGGAGTGTCAGGATTACTATCGACTTAACGCAGCTATGGTTGAGGTATGTTTACCTACTCATCAGCCCTAATGGTAGTATAAAGGTTAGTTTGAGGTGTTTTATGAAACGCTCAACCATGAGGTAATTCAAGAGTCTGAAGCATATGGGTTTGTGAACCTTGTCGCTGATTTTGGTGGACATCTTGGACTTTGGTTGGGTAGGGACTTCCGCATGCATTCCGTATCCAAGCTAGATATTCACGTCATTTCATACTGTATTCAAGATTTTCGGTGATAACTATGATTGAGGTGATTGTACTGCTAGTGAAACTGATATTAATGTTCTGCCGTCGAAGGAGCTGAGTCGATAACGAGAAATGACTAAGAATGAATGAAGTTTATCCGCTAAGGAGCTTGAAAGAAAGTCACTATTTCTATTATAGAAGACGACTATGCTATTGTTGCGATATTTTGTAGAACAATATTGTTTGAAATGCACTTTACATCTGGTGAGGCGCCAAAAGTCCTCCTAACACGCCCCATCATCCGCGCCGAAAGGACTGTAGGTGCAGTCTAGTTTTTTTTTTACTGTGATCACATCACCGCTGAAACTGGAGGATGCATATAAGGACAGGATACAAGGAGATACAAGGATTGTCTAATGAAGGAACTTCGGATGGCCACGCGAAGACATTCCTGCGTTAATCAAGTGAACTGGTAGGTACAGGTGGCATCCTGCCTGCTGAATGACGGCACGACGTCGCTTATGGTTAATATCATAGCAATCAGTCGGGGCGGTGTGGATGAATGAGCCCGCCTCCGGCTGCATCTTTCTAGCAATAGCGACCAGTTTGAGGTCGATTGAAGCGGGAAACAACCAGTGGTAAAACGATGCGGGTGGGTTACTTCGCGGCCTCTTGGCATCCCTCTTGACATCAATTGACTGATTGCGGCGATATCAACTGTATATCACCGCGTTGCCCCAACGTAGGACACCTGCAACACATCGGTGTAAACAGAGTATGCGCAGAACTCCCGCACCGATATGGGCTAGGCTGGAGCCTGGAGAGTTCAGGCTCAGGAATGAGGCAGTTGAGACCAAAGACTAATCTACCGCCTCTCGGGGCAACGGTCATAATACGAATATTTTTGCGCAGCAGTACCCTAGCAGTAATCATAGATGACCTTTGCGCTTCCCATATACACTCTTGCTCGCTGACGATGATGTCAGTGAGGCTGGTTTTCGTGCTGCCAGCTCGTTGTTGTTCCACCCGTTGTTGAAGCGGAAAGCGACAACCATTAATGGAAAACGACTGATACGAACGATATGATACAGTCTTGTCGCTAGCTTGCTTCCACAACTGCTGGAGAGCGGGTTTGGCGCCGGGCAACTCATGCCTCCCGAACCACATCATCACAGACTTTGAGTGGACAGGGTCTTGTTCTTAAAACTGCGCATATCACAGCACCGGCAACGCGATCAGTCGAGGCGGTTTCAAGAGGGATGGGATGAGCCCACCAAAAGCATTCCACCACTGGTTTTTTTTTCTTGAATCGACCACCAACCCATTACCAGCCACATAAATTGCAAAAAACTCGCAGTTCATGCTCGATCTTTACTCACTACAAAAAGGCTTCACGAAGTGGCAAATATTGAATATCAATTAATCTAACAATCATAAAACTAAATAACAATTGAGACAATAAATTCTGAGCAATTAAAGTATTAACTACGATCATTTCTATAACTTCTGACTATACTATTCACCGGATAAATAACAGCATATCAAAATAAAAAG